ATAACAATCTCATCTACAGAGAATACATATTTAATTTTTAAGAATAATTTTGAACAGGAATATTTTAAAAAGACTGAGGGAAAAAATAGAGATATATTCAGTGAATTCAAAACATCAAACTTGAAAATTGACTATTGAAATAGGGCAATGGACTGGCATTCCAAGGGAAAATAGAATCTGCCCACTTTGTAACATTAGTGTAGGTAACAAATTTCATTTTTTATTTATTTGTAGTGACGATAAAAAATATGGCCCTGAGGCAAAAACACACAACAAAATGTTACTGTAACTACCCTTCTGTTTTGAAAATGAATGGAATGTTTCAAATATGCAACAGTTTCTAGAAAAAAAATGTTTTTCAGATACCTTATCAATATCTTGTGTATTTCTCTTCCGTTCAGTACAATTTTTATATAAATAGTCAATATAATTTCATATCTTTTCTAATTTTTTTTTTTTTAAATTATAAGCTTTCTTTATTGTATTTTCTACATTACAGAAAATGTGGTTTACGGTTCCTGCTGCACCATAGTACTGACAACTTGGATTTTAAATTTTCCTCATTTTGCTAATATTGCCGTTTACTTAGGTGTATCCTTATCTCAGTCTGGTAATAATTTTGTCTTCTCATTAGTATGGCCATATGATTTTGGATTTTAATTGGTTCTGATATAGCTGTTCATTGGTTGTTATGTGCTGTCAGAAATATCTAACAACATTTCTTTTATTGATTTGTTCATCATTGAACAACCTAGCGATCAATTTTGTCATAAATTCTGAGATAGATCCTTCCAGCACCTCTCGAGAGGTACAAACTTTTACTGTCACTGTCAGCCATCTTGTAATTCTGACCAAAAGAATGAAGGGGACCATTCATATGTAGTGGGAGAAAGTTCCTTCCAGCACCTCTCGAGAGGTACAAACTTTTACTGTCACTGTCAGCCATCTTGTTTTTCTGACCAAAAGAATGAAGGGGACCATTCATATGTAGTGGGAGAAAGTTCCTTCCAGCACCTCTCGAGAGGTACAAACTTTTACTGTCACTGTCAGCCATCTTGTAATTCTGACCAAAAGAATGAAGGGGACCATTCATATGTAGTGGGAGAAAGTTCCTTCCAGCACCTCTCGAGAGGTACAAACTTTTACTGTCACTGTCAGCCATCTTGTAATTCTGACCAAAAGAATGAAGGGGACCATTCATATGTAGTGGGAGAAAGTTCCTTCCAGTACCTCTCGAGAGGTACAATCCATAACAAGAAATGTTTAATGACAGACGGACAGACGCATGGATGGACAGATGATGAACTTCAAACACGAGGTGATTTGAACAGCCTATCTGATGTATAGACACCAAGACACGAGAAGCTTACATGATGCTTATAGTATCATTTAAATAAATTCAACTTTTCCACCTATCAGATTATTTCTAGAAAAGGATTCCTGTCTACTTTCTTAAATCTCCAGACAGGAATTTTAAAAATGTCCTATTTACAGTTGTTATCAATTTTCTTCAGATCAGGATATCAAAAAAGTTGGAAAGGTCTGCCATTCCACTAAAATCTTTAAAAATCACCAGAACTGGGATAATTTGATTCACTAATTTATTTTCATTTTATATAAATTCTTCAATCACAGAACAAAGGCCAAAAGGACCTGTGTTCTCTCAGTAACATTAAGTCTGGAAAAATTCATCTCATTAATGTGAGCATCAAACAAAGCTGAAATAAAAAAATATCTTCAAATAAATTTGATAACAGTGGAGTAACATGTATATAGACAGAATTCCATTTATACAATTAAATAATCATGTAATATTATAATTTTTCGTATGAAAAATATTGATGACATGCAAGGATTTACATTTATACAGAGGAAGAATTTATTCAATACCATCTTGAGGAAAATATTGTGCATATTTTTCGGAGAACAAACAAATCTCAAACGTGTTAGGAAGTAGAAAAAAAAATAATCCAAATCTTGTTAATCATATAGAATTCCTTTACACCAGAACCTATAGTTAATTATCAATATCACAAAAAAAAAAACTCCATTTCCTACAATATATTGATGTGAAAGTGGACCTTAGATATCCTACTGGTAACATGCTTCGTAAGCAGGACCAAAAAACCAATGAAGAAAATCTTAATCACAAAGACAGTGGACAATGATATATGATCTGTTTTTCCAGTAAGTTTTTTTTATCAACGCCTTAGGATACAGACAAAAATACAATATAAATGAGAATATTACAAAATTATAAACTCACAGAAGATGTTACAAAATTATAAAATTCACAATCAGATAAAATGTGACAAGTAGAAACTAATTTGAAAGAACATGAATTTAAAATCTCTGACAAAATAAATAAATAAATAAGTTTCTTCTCATGTGGAAACTAGAAACTGAACAAATAAATATATAACATTATCACCATAGCAACTACTGAACAAATATAGTATATAACATTATCACCATAGCAACTACTGAACAAATATAGTATATAACATTATCACCATAGCAACTACTGAACAAATATAGTATATAACATTATCACCATAGCAACTACTGAACAAATATAGTATATAACATTATCACCATAGCAACTACTGAACAAATATAGTATATAACATTATCACCATAGCAACTACTGAACAAATATAGTATATAACATTATCACCATAGCAACTACTGAACAAATATAGTATATAACATTATCACCATAGCAACTACTGAACAAATATAGTATATAACATTATCACCATAGCAACTACTGAACAAATATAGTATATAACATTATCACCATAGCAACTACTGAACAAATATAGTATATAACATTATCACCATAGCAACTACTGAACAAATATAGTATATAACATTATCACCATAGCAACTACTGAACAAATATAGTATATAACATTATCACCATAGCAACTACTGAACAAATATAGTATATAACATTATCACCATAGCAACTACTGAACAAATATAGTATATAACATTATCACCAGCAAAACTAGAATTCGAACAGAAAAGGCAAATAACATCATTACCATAGCAACTAGAATTTGAACAGAAAAGGCATATAACAATATCACTATTGGAACTAACAACAGAACCAAAAAAAAAATGTAACATTATCACCATGGATACTAGAAACTGAACAGAAAAGGCATATTACACTATCACTATGGCAACAAGAATTGAACAGAAAAAGCATTTACCATTAACACTGTGGCAACTGTTAAACAGGAAAAAAACCATGAAGCATCTATCAACATGGTAACTAGAAAGTGGAAAGACATAGCTTATAACATTATCATCAGCATCTGGAAACTGCACATTTTTATTATATTGCCATAGAAACTACTGAACAGAAATTGCTCATAACACTTTCACCATGGCAACAAGGAACTGAACAGAAATAGCACATTCATATCACCTTAGCAACAAAACTGCAAGAAACATAAGAAACATATCACCATGGCAACCAGGGACTGAACAGAAATGGCTATAAAGATAATTTCAAACAAGGTACACAATTCAATATAATGATTAATTACGACTGAAGTGGCAATTATAAAACAAAGTAACAAGTAACAAAACAGGCAAAAAATAAACAAAAAAGGATGTAAAATATCACCATGGCAACAGATGGAATGTACAGCATAGTCTTGATACAAAAGTTCTTGTTCAGGAGTCAGTCATTGCTCGAGATATGGACAGTATGTGTAATATTAATTTAACCATGGACGGAAACATGTATAATTGCAATGTAATAAAATATAGTCATATTCATGACATTAAATGTCATAGTATGTGTGTATTTGTTATAAAAAAGATAAAAATAGTTTTAAAAAGAGTGCTTGTCTGGGTAAATACAAATCATCACATGTATATTTGCAAAATCTTTTAAAAATTCATCAAATTTGTAAAAGAAACTACAACAAAAATTTGTAGAAGTGTACACAGTTATATACATAATTCATTTTACCCATAAATTTTCTTACTCATCCAATCCATTCATTATTCTATACATACTCTTCAAGTCAAGGCTGGCCAAATTTTTTTTGATGGTTAAGAAACATTAATAATAATAATAATAATTTTCTGATGTTAGACTTGATTTCAGGTCGATATTGTGATTAACTACTACATATAATACTCTTTTTATATCTAAATCTTACAAGGGACTTGTAAAGATCCTAATAAAAAGGCACAAAAGGGGTCCCAAAAGATTCTTATTTGTATAAACCAATATATCTGACAAATTTATAAATTACAAAATGAAAGAATTGAATTTTTTCAAACATCACATTACCTTGAATGTGTACAGACACTTTGGAAAATAAACTTTGTATAAAACAGATTTCTGGATTAGATTACTTCTGAAAGTCATGCCTCACTCCCATTCAAATTAGTATCCATCTCTTATTTTTCTATAAAAAAAATTGTGACCTTGACCTCGAAACCACATAACAAAATCCATAAAAAGTACAACTGTGTTTTTTCAAACTGATATTTGATTTAAGTATGATCATAAGCCATAATGACATGAAGAGCTCCATTAAACTTCAGATAGATAGAAGTTCTATAATAGATCTAAATAAATAAATGACATTTAATAGAAAGTAATGATGACATTGTCCTTGGAACAATTACTAAGTTGTTGAGTATTATGACCTTGACCTTAAAACTTTGAAATACTTAATAGGTCAATGATTAACATGACCTTCACCTTGGAAGTTTGAAACACATAGGTCAATTAGTATGGTGACCTTGACCTCATTTGTGTGTAAGGTTTGATAAAATCTCCAGTGTGATGACATCAACTTGGAACAATATTAGATGAATCAGCGTAAAATGGAGGATTGCAGAAAAAATGATGATGAATCTTGATATATCAACTAGTACAATCAGCAAATAAAATGTTTACTAGTACTTGTTTTGGAACAGTACATGTGTTGACATTCAAATCACTCTTTCTATAGCAGCTATTTTTAACATCAATCAGACAGGATCATACAACATTTTTTGGCATCATTTCCAAAACTACATCTATTACATAACTTTCCGTACACTGTTCCAAATTTCTGTGTTCCGTCTGGGTCTTTTCCCACAACATTTTTACAAACATGGCATTTTCCCATCCTTGAGCTGTGTCCAACTGAGTGAAAACCACAATAATGAGCTAGGACAAGCTTTTTCCCAATTTGGCTTCCGAAGATGTGTGATCCACAAACAACACAGGAAGACTTATTGTCGTAGAATTGTGGAGCAAAAGCTGATTTCTTTATTGAGCAGGCCATACACAAGACAGTGCTCATGGTATTGGGCAACACAGGGTCAGCCAGGTTCTTGCATCGCAGGTTCTGAAACCCAAGGAAAAATATTATCCAAATAAGAACTGTGACTTGTCATTGAGGAAGGTATCCATGGTGTCAATGTCTGACAAAAAATCATAAGACATATTTAAACTGATATGAACCTGAAAATTGACCAATATCTCTTTCTTTCAGGTTCATATAATCAGTTTTTCACCTCAGTAGAAGTCAGTAAATAACTTATCTGTATATTATATATTCATTCCTGAAATATACCCTTTGATTAATTTGAACAGATTCCTTTCTTCAATACATTATTGTTTATCATCTTCCATTAGTGCTATTTCCACTCTTTTCCAAGAATGAAAATGAAATCACAAAAAATACATAAATAATGAAAACACAGCCCTTTCATCTAAAATTTGTGCCAGTTACAAGCTGTTTGCTTGAAATTTTTGGCAGAAATTGAAAAGATTTTTAACAGCAAGAATCAACTTTTCCAGTATTTTGTAATATTGACGCATTTACCCGAATTTTCTTAAGATATCACCTGTAAAGGTAAGAAGGTTTTCCTTGGTAAAACGATACTTACCTGTAAATACTGTGCTCTGACAAAATCTGGCATATTTCTAGAATCAGGAGATTTGCGTAGAAAATTCACCAGTCTACAAGAAAATAATAAAACACACACTGGACAGGTGTAGTTCTCTAGCAATTTGAAACAATTATGTATAGGGTATATTAAACTAGTTACATGCAAATACATTACCTGGATTCAGTGGATAAGAGGAGGATTATGTGATAAAATTTAATAGTACAACACCTTTTGTAACAATCTGATACAACAGAACATCCGAATATAGTTTCCTTTAGATTCAGGAATTAAATAATACCTCTATGATACATGTATGTCAAATTATTTAGATAAAAAAGTGATGGTTATAACAAAATGTTTTGCTGTAAAAACAAATATTTCCATGGAGCTCCTTTTCATGTTTTTTAAAAATCTCCCTACCCATGGTGATTTTTGTTTCTCAGGATGCTGATAACAGTCTGGTCTGTGCTAATGTGGTTTTGTTTTTGGGCCAGGACAATTTACCCTCATTGCTCAGGATGGAATGCGGCTGACCTTCCACCTGTTGTTCAGAGAAGTAGTTACCAGCCATACCACAAGGGAACCTTGTTTAAAATGACAATGGCAGTTCATGGGGCAATAAATCAAGTAAACCAATTGTATACATTATGACCTTTACAGTCTGTTGTAGACCAGACCCCTCTCACTACAGCCTTTTTCCATTAGCGACATCACCAACTCAACTAATCCTACCTGTTTTTGAGTCCTGCTTGAGTATAATGATACGGTACAGTCTCCATGTTGATATATTTATCTGTACTCCAGGTGAGGTAATATTCCGCCAGTAACTTGTGGTAAGCTTTAATATCATCTCTAGAGGTCAATAGGGTATCCTCTACAGCCTAAATATAGATACAAGATCAAAGGTCAAACTGGTGTTTTCTATAGCCTAAATATAGACAAAAGCTCAAAAGTCAAATTAGTGTTTTCCATAGCCTTGGGTAGACATAAGAGCAAAGGACAGAGTAGTATCTTAATAGCCATAATTCCAAGCAAACAAATGAAAATAAAGTTTGTGTGTCATCACAAAGTTTACTTAATATTTTTTTCAAATTTCATTACATATTACTGACAAAGGATCCTTTAGTCTGCGGTCAGTGGCAACCTCTCTCTAAGAATATCAAATAATACACTTTGTTTTATCTTCTAAATATGAATTGATTACATAATAATAGCCAAATCTCAATATCAACAGTGTTTTATTGTCAAAGTTTTACTAAAATCATTGACGATTTTCAATACTCCATGTAGACAATTACAGATTTTTTTGTGTTAAATCCATCATTCATCTATGGACCAGTATTTCTTGTGGACAGAAGGTTCATTCAAACTCTATCATGGTAACAGTGAGCTGATGGAAGTTCAATTTATGAATTTTCACCTTTTGAAAACTTTGTAACATTAATGGAGATAATCAATCAGTTTAACAAGAGGGTAACAATTTCAAAATAGAATTGTCCTGTCTTTATTAAATTATCATATTTTCAAAATAGAATTATCCTTTTTTTATTAAATTATTACATACTTTATTTAATCTATAAAATATTCTTTCAAGTTGTTCATTATGAGGGATAAAACCTTTATATCTGTTTCCTTACTTTTTGTATGGCAGAATGGCTGTAAGTGAAATATTCACGTGTACCCACAGTGCGTATGTAGTGTTTGAGGTGACGTCGTATCTTTGCCCAGTACAAAGCTGGGAGTGCCTCTTTCTGTTCGATGTCACCCAAGAGGTTTGTCAGATCATTTATTGGTACTCCGCCCCGCGAACAAGCGATAACACAAAGCACCTGTTATATCAAACGAACCTCATTATAATTTATCAATCATCACATTAGGTCAACATTAGCATCCTTTCATCAATATAACATATTCTCATGGGAGGAGTTATCATTCGTCAACTTTGATTTCTATATATTTTGTAACATTATATAGAAAATGTATTTCTCATTTATGAGGTCAATAGCAGAATTAATCAACCTAAACATTTCATATAGGTATTCATATATAAATATATCTAATATTAATGAATACCCTGTGTTGGCTCTACTACCCTCTTTATAATATTAATGAAGTATTAATGACAATACAGCCAAGCGAAGAGTCAAATGTTTGTGGCAATCTGCCCTCTTTATCAGGAAACAAATATTACATAAATTACATCGCATACATAGAACATAAAACAAATACAAAAGTTTTAAGTCTAAATTAAGAGTGGTGGTGTAAATCTAGGTGTCTTGAGAACCTCTTCAGCCAATGGATGCCAAATGCCCTTTATAAAGGGCAAAAAGTTGTTATATTCAAATATCAAAAATTTTGTTTCATAATATATATATTCAGAAATGAAATTACTAATGCTTAATTTGACATGTTGTTTGAAGTTATTTTAATATATACTAATATATATATACCTATTGAATATCAACACATACTTTTATTTCAAAAAGGCCTTTGTAAAACATGTACAATTCCCTTAAATTCTCTTAGAAACAAAAAGTCCTCATAAGAACAGCAGTGTTATTTTTTTCATTACAGAATATCAAAAAGTCTATCATTTTTCACTGGAGTAGCGGTTTGTTACTCTTATACCAATAATTCTACCACATTCATTAACAGACATTCATTAACAGACATTCGTTAACAGACATTCATTACCAGACATTCGTTAACAGACATTCATTACCAGACATTCATCAACAGACATTGTGTTTTTATGTGAGGGAATGCCTTGTGATATTTCTTATATTTCTTGTAATATTTTCACAAGGTAAGAAAATTCTCAGCAATTCAATTTGCAAGTTTTGAGCAGAATAGATATACATGATGCCAATAGGGCCCGTATCGCTTACCTAGTTTAGTTTGCTGAAAATTCATCATCTAAACTAAATGAGAAGCATTTAGAAGATTTATATCTATATTAATTATATCTGATACATTGTTTACACAAAACAAGCATGCTTCAGACCAAACAGGGACAGACTCCAGGCATCCTTGCAGAAGAAGAAGGATTTAAATAAAATTTCCCTTTGTTGGCCCCACGTCAGTGGCCAAGACCCAACATTTACAAAATATCATAATTTGACAAGGTCAATAATTGTACTCATCAAGTTTAACATTTTTAGTAAAAGGCCGATAAGAGTACCTTTTCCATACTTCCAGTTTCATCATCAGAGATAAGCCTTTTGATGATCGATGAGAGTAGACTGCTGACCGACTCTGACACACTTTTAATTTTACTGGACAATGTCCGAAAATCTCCGAACATGCGTAGCTCCTCTGTAATAAGCCACACCCACAAGGGGTTGTGTACACACTCTTGGGACAAGACCTCGTCTATTTCATCTGAAGCAAGTGTCTGGAAAGTCACAAATCTTTATCATCAACATGTCATCCTAACCACGAACCAAAGACAATTATTGGTATATTTCTTGAATTCATCATACAAAATTATAAAACTGGTATATAATATCTTATAGTAAATTGATTCTCATTACAAATAATTTAACGGTAAACAACCCAATTTCAATTGCACTGAAAATTTGAAATTTTAATTTGACTTGTGACCTTGATCAAATGACCCTGACATTTTAGTTAATATCATTTTGTATTTGACTTTGTACAACTGACTGGTGATAGTTTTTTAACTTATATATATCTTGGTCACATGATTTCTTCTATTCTGAACAAACTTGCTACAAAATATCATTTCAAAACATATGATATGTACAGAAGGGAAATTAATCTGGCCTTGAACTTCTAGATGTACAGGATGTCCATTTGATTTTTTGTTTAATTTCTACCAAAAATAGCTACCCTGTAATTCATCATATCTATGTTTTATGTGTGCTAAATACAATGGCAAGGTTAATTTTCAGAAATTTTGTGACCTTGACCTTTAGTTAAGATTCTAAACCAAGAACATGATACAAACAAAGAATTTTTGTTTAGCAAAGTTTTATTTATGAAGACAGGGTCTAAATTTTGTAGGTTTATGTATTACAGAGAGACTGGCTGTTTCATGGAGGTTTAAAGTCTTGTTTTACACCTGTTACACACTACCTTGTTAAATCTACCCAGTCTTTGGGTAATGATGAGGCGAGCATCGTCCACAGTAAGGGGAGTCATTGTCATATGGTAAAATGGATGTTCCTGTAGTCTGTGTAGGGTTGGAAAGTGAGTGTCTGCTGTACTGACAATACAGCGAATCTTCCTAGGGAGCATTGGGGGCAGCCATGACAGGTGATTGTATACATTGTAATCTACTAACTGTAAAATAAAAACATCCAAAATGACCATACATGCAAACACAAAACTGGTTCAAGAGCTTTTCATTGTTTGATTTTGATTATCTAGACAATGCACGACACATAAAATAAGACATCAAAGTCTGCTTTTGCCAAAATTAAACATTTTTTTTTAAAAACATTAAATGAGAAAAAATTCTTGATATCAGAATAAGAAACGAAAATATCTATTTATACTGTGTCACACTGTTGATACCACTTTTAAGAATGTGACTTTACGAACTTCATTGATGGCATCGATGACTACTAGAACATCCCGGTCTTCTTCTCTCAGTCGAGGCAGCGAGTTACGGAACTTATCCTTGTAAAACTGCATACAATCCTGTTCCTCTGGAGGCATGTCATCTATAACCATGGAAACTAGATATAACCTGATTGTTAATTTGTCAAGAAGAAACATTTTTGATATCACATATTAGAAAAAAATATACAACAGCTAGGTCATATACTGCAAGCAGTTCATAATCTCAAATGCCGAAAACTTAGTTGTAACAAATTCTGAGTTGGGCCATTAAAATTGTTCTGTGTAAGACATGTGCTAATTGCATTCACAATTTGTGAAACACTTATGTTTCCATTGTACATTAGTTAAGGCTAATGCTAAAATTTTTCAAAGGTAGGTCAAGGGCTGTAGTAAAGGCCACATGGTCAAAATTTACCACCGGAAAGGTCTTGTCACGAGAAACACACATGCCAAATATGAAAACCCCACCTCTTACAGTGCAGTAGTTATGGGCAAGGTTAAAGCTGATAACAGACCGACAGCACAAAATAATATGCCTGCATGCTTTCGATATTGTCGCATGAAAATGAACAAAGGGGCATAACTCTTTCAAACCAGACCATGATCTTTAATCAGAATGTGGCACTCTGCCATCCAAAGAGATATGCATGGACTTATGAAAATATATACAGAACTTTAAATAGTGACTTAAAATACAATATGATCAATAAAGAAATGACAAATGGAAAATAAAGGCATTTAATTCTGTTATAACAAGTGTAAAACAAGTTTTTTTTTCAACTTCCTTTAATCACTTGTGTTGGCCCAGAGGAAACTTCGCATGGAGTCTTGCTGTGGGAGAATATTGGAATACCTGGGAAAAGCCATTTGGTCGGGCAGGTGACCCAATCACGTCCATTTGGGGAAACAAACCCCATACATGCCCAAGTGAATGGTATGTTTGTTACCACTGCTCTACCAAACACACCAAATAATTCTGTATTGTGTTTATATTTCAAGGGGCGTACTATGATAGCTATTTTACCAAGTCATGTATGACATTGTCTGTCTATTCATTCAATCACTGATAAACCATTACTGGTACGGATATCTTCTATAAATTTTCTCCAGATTTTGTTCAAACTCGGCAGGTTTTATCACGAACCATGACATGAAAATATGTTTTCATAAATATCGTTTTGATTCAACTGTTCTAAGTAGACTTTCTGAATTCCTTATTTTACTCTGTGACCTTAATCCTTATGGGCAACAGATATATATCAGACCAACATAGATGACAGTGGATTGTTTGGGTTTATATATCTACTAGTTACACCAACATTTTACTAAAAACATTCTATTGTGATACTTTACCAAGTTTCTCTCCAGTAATGGCTTTGACGATCCGTTGATACATCTTCTCAGTCTGTCGACTATCAGCAGAACATCCAACAAAATGGTAGATCACAAGAATTCCAGACTGTCACACACACAACAACATAAGTTTCATTAAATTCCTTAAAATTGTTTAAAACTTGTTCAAAAAATCATTTGTACCTGTAAAACAAACTACACGTTTATTCGTAACATATCCAATTTTCTAAATTTATATATATATTTATCAACATAGTCGTTAAGACTGTCTGATGAATTAAAAAATGTCAAATGTGACCATTGACCCTTTAACTTTGATCTTCTATCTCCCTTAACATGATAAAGTGTATAACTTTAGGTTATGACAATTGAACCAAATCTGAAAAAATGTGACACGACATGGTGGGATGATGTGTGATCAGAAGATTTAAAACACATTGGCCATTGTATCGTAAAATATGCCAACATCATGGTCAATTTAACTTTTAAACAAATACAGTCAACAGGTCTACTCAGACACAGGACAGGATTATCTCCCTTATATGGTCCCCAGTAAGTTGGGGCTCCTTTTTATTTATGAAAAATTTTCTAATAAAACACACCGACCATTGTATTATAAAATTTATGGTTCAATTAATATGCCAACATCATAATCAGTTTAATTATTAAACAAACAAAAAGTTTCCTTATGACCTTCAAAGTTATGACACTGACCTTCAATGCATTTTGTACAAGTCTGGCCATCACTGTCGACTTGCCGTAACCTACAGGTCCACTCAGACACAAGACAGGATTATCTCCCTTATCTAATCCCCAGTAAGTTGGATCTCCTGTTTATTTACAAAGAATTTTTTTAAATAAAACAATTCCTAATTATTATATTATAAAATTAACTAATAGAGAAAAATATGTACATTAATTTCTATCACTCAGAAGGTTTATGCAGTGTAAGTACACAAACAATAATTTCCGTGTAATTTTTTTTCATCACAATTACTTATATTCAGGCTTTGGGGCTTATTGAGAGTGCACTCCTGTTTTATTTATTTATTTTTTGTCTGGCTTGATAAATTAAAACTGATGTCAGCTGTCATAGCCATCAATTAATGGAACAACTACATTTATTTCTTTAAAACAGAACAGAAATAGATTTTTTTAATCGTGTAGATTTACACTTGTATTAAGTTTCCCGTTTATTTTAGTATCTTCATTGATGCTACTTACTGACAAATGATTTTTCATTTCCACCTGAAAATAAAAAAATCCTTATAATTTACACACGCAACAACAACACAACAATATCAGTAAAATATGATATTATTGTTTCATACTGTTTACGACACTGTATACAAATAACTGTTAGATCCCAAACAATCAGGGTTGAAAAATACTCAAACAAATAAATAATCAGTGTTTAAGACAATAACCAAACATCCCCTGACAAACACATTTGACAAATATCTGAGAATTTTAGCATCTAGATATTCCCTGCCATATTGTCTATCATCTTCACCACTGATAGATAAATATTCAAATGTTTTGTGGGTAGAAACAATTGATTGCATTATCTGAAGGCAAACTTACATAATAGTATGAAGACTGCTGTAGGATTCATTGAAAATTTCAGTTCCAATGTTAACCTGATGTGTGACTCAACAGCAAGCATGTCACCATTTTTTGTCAAAAGGACATTCCAATTAGGACTATGTAATAAAGTTTTTGTGACGTCAGATTATGTAAATGAAACAGTGTTATACCCATAGATTTGTTTTGGTATATAACAATGGAGATCGTAGATATTGAGCTGAAATGACATCAAGTTTGAAGTCAAAAAGTAACAGTTTTCTGTAACATTTGTCTAAATAATTGATCCTGTGACGGAAAGTATCATGATTTAAATTCAATGTGATATGTGATTTACGAAACTTTCCACAAATTTTTCTGTCTATTTCTTCATAAATCACTCATGAAATAGAAAACTCATGTGATATCCTATATTTATCAATATATGTACCATTGTCTAGACGTTAATAAGAATTTATCTATAGAGAAACAGCATACATATTGTAAGATTACCATGGAGACATATATAAAAGCAAGTCAACTTTCACCTCATTAGTTGTATACAGTCATTTTATATTATCAAGAAGTGCATCTTCAATTATAATATTACAAAATTAAACAATATGTATTTTTCATTGAGATATATTACCTTGTTGCTCTCTGAAGGATAAAACACTTAAGATATTAAACCATAGCATTAACAAATTTGACAAATGATGCGATCTTGATGTACATGCGTAATATTTTTTTCATTGCTTGCCAAGGTCAAAACAAATATGGCTGTTATTTGCCCAATTTTGAAAGAAAATTTTCATATTGCCCAAATTTCCGCAGACCTGACAGCTGTAATCCATCCATAATGTCTCCCTTAGCATAACTCATCATCACTCGCAGAAGTTCTTCTCGACCCACAACAAACTCCGACTTTTTCTCCATGTAAAGCCGATGATTTTCAAACTCTATGCGATACAAGAAAGTCAATCATCATTACTAACACCCTCAGTTCTTTGATACAAGTAACATAAAGAAAAAAATATTTAAAAAATGAACAAATCTACATCAAAAACCGAAAGATGGTCATGAAAACATTATAGCTAAAATACATGTAGCACCTAAAAGTAACAGAGCAAGAAGTCCAGAGGGCATGAATATTAAAACATGGATATCAACACATAAACAATTCTTACTAGATAAAGTATTTTAATATCATAACATGCTTTATAATCTGTGAAATGATAAATAGTGTTGTCTTAATGATTTCACAAAGAATGATTGGTCTTGATATTCTGGTAAATATCGAATTTTATTTTTTATTTATAAAACTATATCACCTAAAATATATCAGTATTTCTCCATCCTGAGTCTTGACGAGATTTCAATTCCAGCTATATTCTAAACGAAATAATTTATAACAAAAAAATTTGCAACAGTTTATAACGAAATGTTCACCCTGCATAAACTCACTAATATAATGAGCAAGATTCATAGTGTAGTCAATAAAGGGAGATAACTACCTTGCACCTCTGGGTCTGGATTTTTTACAGCCTTCTGATCAGGGTAAGTATGAATAATGGCCTTTCGTAGAAAATCTTGTGCCTTTTCTGCGAAATCCTCCAATCCTTTAAGCTTCACCTACATAAAGGGAGGTAATGAAGGACATAAATAAACAAGATGTCCATAGGGCCTGTATCACTCACATGGCATTGTTTTATCCAAACAAAAGGAAAAGGAATTCTAAAGTTTTTTTCCCAATGGTCCCAAGCCCTATGCCCCTCAGAGATTCAGTGAAACCATTAATACAGGAGTCTCCTGCGCCTAAGAATGTGTCAGACCAAATTGGATAGAATCATGTCATCCTTACAGAAGAAGGATTTTAATGAATAATGAATTTCTCCCACCCCAGGGGACAGAGCTGTTTCTGATACTTCAGACCAAATTTGGACGAATTTTTTTTTAAAGGGTGAGACTTACCATTTATCTACATATATATTATACTACATCATGATATTCTATGAACTTAGAGGTGACTATGGAATTATGACATTATCAGCAAGTACAAATCAGAACTTTTTTTTTAAACTGTTTCCTCACACTTACAGATCTATACATACCCTCTGTCTTCCAGATTCCTCAGACACACCTTCCACTTGACAAGAGTAGGGGAAAACCTGATCTGGAAATCTGGCTCTTAACTTCTCTTTCAGAACCTGAATGGTGATGTAAATTTTGATACAACAGAACTGATCAATCACACTACCCTTACACTATATTACAACATATCAGATATGCACTTCACCAGAAAAACTAGAAATTTCATCCTTGATAACCTAGTATTTATCTTTACTGCTATGTATGTCTTTATCTGTAAGTAATAAAATTAACCTATATTACCTATATGGACATACAGAATAAGTATTCAAACTCAAAGCTGATTACAGGTATATGAGGGCAAAATATGAACAAAAGAAAAATTTACATGGCGACACCTGAAAAGAGACCCCAGAGGGATCTTGGTGCCCACCATTATATGGCCTTCACTGGTCCTTTATATTCTGGATAATTTCCCTTATTTTCTTTCCCACATTAACATAAATCAAATATGCATAACTATAGGGACCAAAGGGAACCTACATATGACATGTCATAGTGATCTGCATTGAATTAATCTCGAGATATTGTATAGTAGGTTATTTTTGCCAGACAAAAATTTCACAACATTCAATTGAAATGGAAAAATAGGATTTTAATGAATTGAAATTTCACGATATGCGTATTAGAGGACAACTTATTGTCACGAAATATTGCTCCCTATATCAAATTACAAACTTTTTTTTACCACATTATTGTGGTTATGTTGATATAGTGACAACCAACTACAGTTGTTGTTATCCAAGATGGCCACCTGTCAGCCATTTTGTTGTAACAGGAGAGGGAAAATGTGCAGCCAGTCCAGGGGTTCAAACCTTGGACCTTCCGAACCATAGACGGATGTTCTACCTACTGAGCCAACTAGTCGCCCAATATTGACCTCATCCAGTTCTGCTACAATTTTTATCGTAACCAGTCCCATATAATGGATAATGCATAGCTAGGTCCTAAAGACTGTCCATATATGAAATTTGTGAACAATCCATTGGGTAATTCTCCAGAAATTCAACTTTTGAAATTCAGCAGAGCTGCCTCTTGGTCACTTTTTCTTATCTGTTCCAAATTGAACATGCACCACAAGGAAACATAGGAAGTCTTCATGTGAAATTTGAGGAAGATCCATCCTATACCGCTACAGAAATAGCATTAACAAAAATTCAGACAGACAGACAAACAACACACGAGGACGAGCGCCATGGATGAAGGATGATTTGAAGGGCTTACCAATTGATGATGAAGGCATGATCCTATATATAACTTTAAGTCATTGCTAGATATCTTGTGCTCAGAACCTGTAACTTACTCTAAGATGTTCCTGTTTGACTGGCTCCAGGTCAGTGAATCTTCCCTGATATTCCTTTGGGAGATCTTTACAGAAGTCACCATTACGAAAGAAAAAGACAGCATTTGGATTCCGTTTCCTTAAATCAAAATGTCAAATTACAACACATTACAAAATGTCTGGAATATATTTTCACATTGAGGAACAACTTTAGGAAATATTTATATTGATATATTTTTGTTTTGTTTTAAAAATAGAACAAAAAAAGCTAAATGATATAATTTAAGTTGAATTCAAAACAAACCAATAGACAAGTCATATAATTGATAATTTGGTCAAACAATGACAGTTGGTTTTCCTCCAACACTAGAGGTTAGACATTTTGAGGAAAAATGTTCAGATATCTGTCCATCAGAATGTCTATTATGTCTGGCATTGGAGCCAGTCTAGTTAACTTCAGCCTCAAAGAAAATATTTTCTGAGACCAAGGACAAGAAGGACTAATAAGATTATTCTCCGTAGAAGTCCTAGCATTTCCACACTACACTGCAACAGTTGATATGGAACATTGATAAACAAAACCCAGGGTCTTGGCATTGGACATAACGGACACATATATTATACATATAAGACTTATCACTATTTCTACTCTGAAAAGTCACAAATACCCAAAGATTCATTTTATAGTCATTACATCATTTTGTTTACCACATACTATTCAGTGAGGCATAAAGAGCTACCTAGCAAATATAAGGAGAATTTGCCCCAAAATGACCATGGTTGTTCATAGGGCTATATGTCCAGCAAACACATACACAAACAGACTGCCATGCCAACCGAGATTGCTGACTGAAGTATTTATATAAAAAGTGTGTGACCTTGATTGACATTGACTTATGAGCCTAGAAGTATAATCTTATTTGAGGTATTTGAACTTGGAACAGAAATCTGATCTACATCTGTAAGGAAAATAATTAGTGGCTGTTACTGATGACCTTTAAGGTTTACCTGTAAGCGCCATGCATGACCTCCATGAAGGTTATAGATGTGTCATTGATCCAGTCATACTGACGACGGACTTCTGACGGAACTTCTTCCTTAGAGGGAATCCAGCCATATCTTTAAACATAAAATATGATCTCAGTGGATTTTAGGTTCTTCAAAGCAAATCTACATTTCATGTTGCAAAATTGATAAAAGATGTTATAAAATTCCACTTCAATCTCACATATTTTGAATTAAAAAAATTTTCTTCAGAAACTCATTAGAATAAGATTAAATTTTGAATATCATATATATAAAAGAATAAAATATGGAAGAAAATAAAAAACAGATGTCAAAAGGCGTTAATGGTCGCCTGAGTGACAGGTTATTGTCCGTGTTACATGTCAAAGAAATAATCTTGTAATCTTGTAACGTAATTGTAAAATGTGTATGACTTTAACTGCCATCCCATTCTAAGGCTTCCAACTACGTTTGAATTAAAAGAAATTACACAACACATGACATTGTGTAAAAGGCAATCACAACAGATCACAATGAGATTTCCTTTCACACGATGTAAAAGCATGCAGGCTTATTATTAGAAAAGTCTTTAAACACACAAAGGTTGTAAGTGTTAAGAAAAATCTTCTTATCAAGAAAAAGTGAACTTTAACTAAACATCTCTCAAAGCTAAGGTAAATGTATCATTTAACACATTCTTCATGTTTGCAGGTATAGAAATTTATTAATGGTGTTTTAGTAGCTACAATAAGATCTATAATCCCAAAAATAAATTGTCTCTTGTAGTTGATGGGATGTAGTCTCCAAAATATGAAACATGAATTTCCAACTATGGTTGTGAATTTACATTTGAAACATTATTCAATTCAATATTTATAAAGTAATTCTGGAAAAAAACAGCTGAGTAAAAAAAAAAAAAGAAGATATTTCAGCTTTCACACAAAACAATTTTATTCACATTAACACCGTCAAATTCTCCCCAAAAGATGACCAATTTTAAAGCTCCAAAACAAACTTTGTCAAAACACCTTCATCCAAGAGCAGAAAAAGAATAATAATTATAAGCCTTTATCTTTTATTTTTCTTTATAACGCCAAACCCTGCTGCTCGGACTGCCTTATTGGGTTACCTTTCACCTGTAAGATTGATAAAAAATGGGGTTCCTTCATTTTCTGAATGACATCGATCAATCTCCTCCATACAGGTGGAAATTGTGTCAGAGGTCGTTGAGTCCTTCGGTACTCCCCAGCGTAGGTCACACTCCACCAAATAGAGAGAACGTTCCTCACACCATTCTCGTAGCTCTGGAAATACCTGTGAAGTAACATAAACAAACCAAATGAAACGCATCTCAAAATGGAAGGATGGAAAACTTTACTTTTTGAAAATTTTAAATTTTAAAACTATCTATAAAGATTAATATTCCTTCAATAGATGGTTAGTTGGTACAGTGAACACATTGCCCTTTCACCTTGGTAAGCAGAGGTCAACTCCCTGATAGATTTTGAAAAAAGATATGGGGTCACACATGGGTTTTCCCCAGGTACTCTGGTTTCCACCCACAGTAAGATCACTACTATCAGGGCAAACAGAGGTGATTTATATGAGCTGATAGCTTGTTTTAGAACTGTTGCAAAATAAATAAACATTGTAGTTTTACTTATAATGAACTGCAATGAAGTTGCACAGTTTAAACTTTACCTTTCTTGTTGAAAGGATCACTGGCCTCTAGTGTAATAAACAGGACAGTTATTGCTGTAAACAATTTCAAATATAACAAAAACAACAAAATTCAGACCAGAAATAATTAGATTTTTACAGTTTTACTGATGATGTTTAAAGGACACCTGTAACAATTTTTTGTTTTTATGTTAGGGATTTACTTACAAAAATCATAAAATACACAAAGAAATTATAATATATCCCAATACTCTTTTAAATCCTTTGTCCAAATGAAAACATAAATTCTATGCTAGATTAGCTGCAATATCAATATGGATTCATACTTCATATAATTGTGATATTTTTTCTATCCTTCTTTCACTTAGGTTTCATGTTACTGGCAGTATATATAAAACATAGAAAGTATTATACATAAATATATATACATATATATATATATTTAATAGATATGACAATCTTGAAATATTAACTGTTATAATTTTCTTATTAACAAATTACCATTTTTCCTATCTCACTGGGGTAAGACATATATATTGTCAAACTTAACTTAAAAAGATTGAGTCAACATCACTTCAGACTGGTTTTGGTTGATAAGTGGGGCACTACGCATGGAGTGTAAATAAGGTGATTCACTGGTGATGCTTGTTGTGTGTCGTGATTGAAACTTACCCGGTACTTGGACTACTTATTGCCTAACTTAATGAGAACCATCAATCAGTCATCTTAAATTTAGTGATATACATGAATTTAAAAGTAATTAAACCAACACTTTTTAAAGTGATGTTAGTAATGCAAACATGTCCCCATGTTAAATGAATGTCTACCTTTTTGACCAGAACTTCTCTTTCGTTGAAGAAATCAGTGAATGTTGAAGAGACGAAAACCCTGATTGTCTTCCATGAAGAAACATTTCTTGCATTACAACCAGACTCCTGTGTGGTCGGTACATTCAGTTCCTTAACTCTCTCACATGACACTTCAGCTCTTTCCCAGCATTTTCTAACAGATTCTCTCACAATATCTTCATGAGACTGCCCAACTTGCTCCTGTCGTTTCTCCTGGTTATTTTAATATTAAGCAGAAACTTTTACTTCTGAAGTAAAAGCTCGTGTTAAATACATGTATTTAACACTTCATATTATCTTAGTTTTAAAAGTATACCAACTAAATCTGTTTACTTCTGTAGTTTGAAAACATTGTTATTCTGATGATTAAATTAAATTCAAATAAAAGAATCAACGCTGATCAATTGCAAAATCTGGAGTTTTAAAAATGTTCTTTTAACAATGGCAAATCTTACAACACATTTTCTTATAACACAGGTAGTCATATAACATGTTAGGTCTCATAACACAGGTAGTCTTATAACATGTTTGGTCTCATAACACATGTACTCTTATACCATGTTTGGTTTCATTACACAGGTAGTCTTATAACATGTTTAGTCTCATAACACAGGAAGTCTTATAACATGTTTGGTCTTATAACACAGGTAGTCATATAACATGTTAGGTCTCATAACACAGGTAGTCTCATAACATGTTTGGTCTGATAACACAGGTAGTCTTATAAAATGTTTGATCTCATAACACAGGTAATCTTATAAAATGTTTGGTCTTATAACACATGTAGTCATATAACAAGTTAGGTCTCATAACACAGGTAGTCTTATAAAATGTTTGGTCTCATAGCACAGGTAGTCTTATAACATGTTTGGTCTCATAACACATGTACTCTTATACCATGTTTGGTTTCATTACACAGGTAGTCTTATAACATGTTTAGTCTCATAACACAGGAAGTCTTATAACATGTTTGGTCTTATAACACAGGTAGTCATATAACATGTTAGGTCTCATAACACAGGTAGTCTCATAACATGTTTGGTCTGATAACACAGGTAGTCTTATAAAATGTTTGATCTCATAACACAGGTAATCTTATAAAATGTTTGGTCTTATAACACATGTAGTCATATAACAAGTTAGGTCTCATAACACAGGTAGTCTTATAAAATGTTTGGTCTCATAGCACAGGTAGTCTTATAACATGTTTGGTCTCATAACACAGGTAGTCTTATAACATGTTTGGTCTCATAACACAGGTAGTCTTATAACATGTTTGGTCTCATAACACAGGTATCTTTTAGCAAATGGGATATTATTGCACAGGTTGTGTTGTAGCACAGAGATATCTCATATCACATCATAACACAGGTTCTATAGGGTGATTAGGATTTATCAGTCTTGATGTATACATACCGGTTTGGATTCTTCTGGCCCCTGGGTGGGGCTAGGACCATCGCCATACAGATACCTCTTGTACATACCGTCCACAGGCACTGTCTATCATGTGGGTCAGGATATATTTCTGTTCATAATCCCCATCATTTATCTAACACAAGCAAAATGAAAAGGTGTGATCAATACTTTGATTTATTTGTTCTCTATATTTACAAGTTTTTACACAGGAGATAGAATGTACTCATCATAATGTATTGGCAGAATATGCTTTCTTACTTTATTGAAGCAAAGTCAAACATTTGTCATGTACAGAAGTACATGTATTAAACTGTACTGGGATTAGAAACAAATACATTGTACATGTAATCCGAAGTTCTGTTGGGAACTTTTCATCTCAACACATAAATTTGAAATAAATAAGGGTAACTTTCAATTATTGATGTTAAATTTGAAAATTGTTCCAACCAAATGATTAAATATCTGCATTTTGCCAATTCCCTCAAGAAAGTGTTAAGTTTATTATTGGAAATTATCTTATAGTTTCCTTTCTTGTGTTCTTTTGTTTTGTTTGTTTTTTGTTTGTATATTTTTTTTTCAAAACAATTTCAAATGCATTGTCCAGTTCCATGAAGGAATCTTTGTAAAAAGTTATCAAATGGAACAATAACTAATGCAAATGATACTTTAATCTCGTAACGAAGTGAAAAATAAATTGATATGAATGATTACCCATGAAATAACTTTATACATCCCAAGGGTATCATTTTGTTATAAGAAGGAGTAATGCAAAACAACCTACCACTACTGAGGTTTGAACTAGGAACCCTTCGGTCTCTAGCCGAACACTCTATAGCTTGACTAAAGGGAAGTTACGACTATTGCAGGCTAATAAGGTGACCTGTATTCTCAACTTCTACAATTCAAATGCATTGATTCTCCAAAGGAATGAATAAATACACATTAATTTGCCTGAGGAATAATGTTACAGGAATTGATCCACCCAGGGAGTAACATTATACACAGTAATTTCCTTACGGATCTCATTCCTTAACACAACGTTCAATCCTATTTTTAACAAGGAGAAACACTTTATAAATAAAGAATGCAAATGATTGTACAACTGCATTTAGTCAATAAAAGAAAAAAAAAAGGAAACTTGTGTTCCATCTTTCTTAACCTATATCCTTGCTTTGCTTCGAACACCTTTCAGCTTTGTGATTCATGAATACGCGTTACTGAAGTTAGTCCCCTGTGTTTCAGGTCCCAACGTAATACAACTCATAATAATTGAAACCTCTATACAAAGACCGTCTGTCTATCAAAGACAGTTTTTTATCAGATCCATTGAGTGACCTTTATCAATTTATAAACAATAGCCTTAATACTCCCTGTCGCGACCGTTGCTTCTTTGGTGCTTTCACGTAATACGTAAGAAAGTAATCTATTGCCTATTGTTCATTCGTAGTTATTTTTTAGACATACATCATCTGACATAATACCGAGACTGTCCACTTACAGGTTAGAGTTTACATGTAGACACGGTACACCTGTTGTTGATGTACACAACTTTTGCAGAAACTTCCGGTTACTATAAAAACTAAAAGAAACACAGAGACGTTTGTAAATTTCCGGATTAAAAATAAAATGAGGTGACTATACGAATTATTCTGTTTTTTCTTTTGTTAAAGTTGATCCAATAACAGAAAAAATGTCATCTGTCCAAAATGGTAGGTTTTTATGAGAACAGTCTGAAATATAACGAAAGCACATGCAACTTGGTTTGTACTGTAGCAGGATTCGTCCCGCGCTGAAAGCCAGAACTACCATTATAGTAAAACTCGTGAAATAAAGAAATTAGAAATGTGACAGACACATTAACTTTGAAATATTAAGAAATTTCTGAAAAAGAAGATTTTCGATTTTTAGAGTGAAAATATCTAAAATTGTTCAGATGGGTCACAAATGCCGACGCTAGGGAAACATCAACACTCACGGTTAATCTTTTATTACAGTTGACGATGTCGGTCTATTTTAATTAATGGGAAAATATAGACATGCGGAGTGAAAAGGACCGTCGGACAAGTGGCAACAAAGACATGTTCCATTGTCAAGGTATGGTTTATCTATCACGTAATATGAACTACATATTCCATATTTATGCCTTGAGCTAACTTTCAGTAACAATAATTATACATTCACCACCTACTCAGCACTTCAGGAACTATTAGTAAGTTACAGGTATATGCTGATCTTGCGCGCTGATATACATGTACCTATACGTCATTTCGTCCACGTCATAATTCTGCATAATTCGATCACGATGATTTCATAGCTGTTTATACGAACTTTCTTCAACTTAAAATTGTTCATCGATTTGGAAACATCAGCTTTACAGCTGAATCAATAACATTTGTTTGTGAGACTGTGACTACAAAATCGGAGACACAAGACGAGGGGACCAGCTGTTGCCCTTACGATACCTTGGGAAGAGTCGATTTATTGGCAGACGACTCGAGAGCGGATGGTGGGAGAGTGGTGCGGGACTTCTGCTCATTCTTTTAAATGAACGGCTTAGGAACCTAAACATGATTCAAGATGTTTTAGCTGAAATTCTCATATTTCGTGTCACAACTTTACAGAAAACCTAAAGGTATGTAAGAAAGGTGGATGTCCTTTTTATAAATATTAAAACAAGTCTCGTTAATTTTTTTTCCAAAATGATCAATGACGCTGAATCATCTCTATCATTCAAAAGGTGTGTATTTTTGTACAAGGTGTCTTAATAAACATATTAACGTGTTATGTGACGTTACAAAACTTAGAATTGCTGAGCAACACTTTTCATACATATTTCGCTTCTTTTAAGAAGGAAAAATATCTTTGAAATTATGAATTAAAACAACCAACTCATGTCGGAGGCCGCCTAACTTTGAAGAAAACACGTCATACTTATTGAGAAGTTCTACCCCACCTCTCACCTCTCCCCCCCCCCCCCCCCCCCCCCCCCCCCCCCCCCGGGCCTTCTAAACCTCCCTTTCTTTAACAATATCGCTCTACACCTCTCACTGTCGTTAATACGTACTTGTATGATCAATACACAGTGTACAGTTTAAGTATTATATACATACGTTTTAGTGACACATGTTCATTGTACGATATTGCCCAGCCCAGCATGAGGGTAGTATAATTAACTATCAACGAACATCTTTTATCACTAATATTTCATATTCATGACTTATATTCTTACTGCGAACTAATTGTTTGTAAATATAACTTAATGTATACCATTTACATGTAAGTATATAATTATATTGATATATAATATTGATATATTATATAGTTATAGTGAATAACAGAAACTTATAATGGATGCTAACTTTTGAAATACGTTAAAATTCGTGTAAGATTTGAATAACAAAATGTCTGTTTCACGACCTTGAAGAATATTTATTTCATTTTGTATATCTTAACTCGTGTGCGAACCAGTTCTCTGAATTCTTGACTGCCTTTCTTATCCTCATTGTTTTTACCTTTGAGGCTTCTGTTAAGATTTTTAAGTCACCTCATCTCGACGCTTCTTTTCCTGACCTCTGAAGTCACATCATCCTGACGCTTGATCCCTCGGGCTTATAAAGTCACATCACTCCGACACTTGTTTTTCTGCCCTGTGAAGTCACAGCATTCCGAAGTTCTTTTTCCCCTCTGATTTTGTAGAGCCCCATCCCCTCCCCATCACAACTACCTATTTATTTTCAAACTTCACACCGGAAAAGTACGATATTCTCCAACACACATGTCGAGCTTGTAAAAACCTATTTCATATGAAGTGTCTTCACTGTGAGAACAAGAAAGACACACACACACGTATCATCAAGCAAATGGTTTCGACGAGACCGGAAAGGTGGGGGGGGGGGGGGGGGGGGGGGGGGGGGGGGGGCGTGAGATGGAGATGGGGCGAGGCTGAACGGCGCAGGATGGTGTGATGTGGGATTGGGTTGGGGTGGTGTGATGTGGGATGGGGTTGTGGGGTGTGATGTGGGATTGGGTTGGGGTGGTGTGATGTGGGATGGGGTTGGGGGTGTGATGTGGGATGGGGTTGGGGGGGGGGGGGCGTGAGATGGAGATGGGGCGAGGCTGAACGGCGCAGGATGGTGTGATGTGGGATTGGGTTGGGGTGGTGTGATGTGGGATGGGGTTGTGGGGTGTGATGTGGGATTGGGTTGGGGTGGTGTGATGTGGGATGGGGTTGGGGTGTGATGTGGATGGGGTTGGGGGGGGGGTGATGTGGGATGGGGTTGGGGGGTGATGTGGGATGGGGTTGGGGGTGTGATGTTGGATGGGGATAGTTAATACAGTGACAAGATACCTACCTATTGGAGAAAACGGCTCAAATTAAATGTGTTTTCCATCTGTAAACTCCATTTCAGAGAGAGTCGGTAAAATTGAGTTTTACTTTAGATTTAGTGTTTTTCCAGCGGCATTTCACCTTTTTGTCGTGTCCAGTCAACGTAACACTTCGGTAAAGAAGTATTATGAAATGACCATTGAATGACCCCACAAGACAATGTGTCTAATAGCTGGCGGCAAAATGTCACGGTTTAGGTAGGCAATTCGATAGGTATAATAAATGTATATATATTTAGGAATGGAAAATTTGAGATAAAATGTCACTGCAACGACTGAAATAGCTGTAAAATAAAGTATTTTCGTGAGGCTGAAATTCTGGTGTTCTTCAAATCACATGTTTTTTCTTTGGCACTTAATTTCGCGGATATATCTTTCTCACTAAATCCACTTGTACTAAAGTTTATGTCAATCTTTATCCATTTATTATTTCGTGGATGTGTAAAATTATGGTTGAAGAGAAACCACGAATTCAACGAAAGTAAAACACCAGCGAAAAAATGGACTTTATAGTATCCGGAGTAGCTGGGTCGCTTTGACTTTTAACGAGACATTTCCCACCAAAACCAGGCTTTTGTATTCTCAAAATCCCTCCAAAGTGAGCAGGTAGATCATCATAACTAATTTAAGTTCTTTCTAACAACGTTTGGGATGTTATACACTCTATGACTCGTTTTAAGTACAGGTTACTAATTGTGAAACTTAATGTTTAAGATTACTACATGTCATGCGAAGTTAATCTTGAACTTTCTAACGAACCTTGTTACGTGGAAGCTTCCTGGAGTCAGTCTTGCCTAAGGCGTATTCACATTCATCAAATCACAGTCAATTACACCCTGTACTTAGCTACACTGTTATGTACTTAGAAATTAGAAAATTGAAATCAATTTATATTACCTATAATGGTGAAATATGCGGATAGCATGTCTGTAAGTGTGGTTATTGATACTGGCGCAGCCTGTGGTTATTCTTATTTTACACGAGATAAGATTCATGACCACCCATTCATGTTGACATAACTGTAAACTTCGCCATGACTTTAAACAGGAATTTGATATAACATTTCAACACTAATGTATATCAGCGCTGAGGTACAGCATGTTTTCGAGTCATAGACGTACCATCTGTTTCATAATGAATATGTACACTATATCTGTGGCTCATAAGTCTTAAAACGGGCCAACACAAACTGATGCTTAAAAGAAATAATTATAATCGTTAACAGGTATAGTTCATGAATCAATTGATATGATTTTCTTAATCAAAGATTTCTCTTATTGTTAACAATATTTCTTTAATTAAATCGAAGTTACATT